CCACTGATAGGATCCATTGCTCTAGTATTTCATCAGGGGTGGGTTAGCTCAATTCTAGTAAGAAATCTGCCAATAGTTGTGACTCAATGTTGTTTATGGGCGCGTATGTGATATCACACTCGAATAATTCCATTGCTCATACTACCATTATGCCTGCCAGATCCAGCTTTTTTAAAATCCGCTTTATGGGGTAGTTTGCCTTGACTATTATAGGATGTCCCTGGAAGTATTGCTTGAGTTTCCTGGAGGTAACCACTTCTATTTGCTTAATCTTCTGATAACAAATTTCTGCTCCTTTAAGAACCTTGCTAACAAAATAGATCGGTCTTTCATCTCTGTCTTGAACTAAAAGTAAGCTAACTGCCTTCTTGGATACTGCTAAATACAATATAAAAGGAAAATTTTCTTTCGGATGGGCCAAGATCGGTGGAGCAGACAAGAATTGCTTCAACTCCTCAAACGCCTTCTCACACTCTTCCGTCCATCTAAATTCTTCTGACTTATTTATAGTTGCCAAGAAGTGTATGGACTTATCACCTGTGTAAGATAGAAATCGGGATAAGGCATCTAGCCTCCCTATCAGTTGTTGGACTTCTTTTACAAATGTCGGGCTTCCCATTTCAATGATAGTCAGGCACTTGTCTGTATTTTCTTCTATTCCCCGGTTGTTCAACTTGAAGCAGAGGAATTTTTCGGCCTGAACCCCAACGTACATTTGTCGGGGTTAAGTCTCATGTCGAAATTTCTTATTGATTCAAAGTTCTCTTTTAAGTCATCTACGTTCCTTCCTTCTTCTTGTGTCATGAATAGCATGTCATCAACATACACTTCAAGATTTCTTCCTATCCGTGACGAGAATACCATGTCCATCAACCTCTGATACGTAACCCCGATAATTTTTAGTCCAAATGGCATGACTTCATAGTAATAACTATCCGCCGGTCATGAATGTTGTTTTGGGTGCATTAGTCGAGCTCATCTGTATTTTATTATAACCTGAGTATGCGTCTATGAAGTTGAGCAAACAAAAACCTGAAGCTGCATCAATCAATCTATTGATATGTGGCAACAGATAGACCGGAAATGCTTTGTTTAGATCTATAAAGTCCATGCACATGCGCCACTTTCCTAACTTCTTCTTCACCATGGCCACGTTAGATAGACATGTATGGTATTTTATCTCCTATATGAATCTAACCTTTAGTAGTTTGTCGACCTCCTATGTGATCTCTTTCCTTTTTTCTTCCGCGCTCTTTTGTTTTCTTTGCATCACAACTTTTGATGTTGGATCAAATGAAAGTTGATGACAAACAATACTTTAGATCAATCATGGGCATGTCTAATGGTTTCCATGCAAAAATATCAACATTGTCTCTTAATACCATGATGATATACACCTCCTCTTCCTAGGATAGCTCCGAGCCTATTTGCGTGATGTGAAACTCTTCGATTCTAATTTGTACCTTTTTTAATTCTCCAATTGGGGTTAAGCTCTCGCCTATGGGATCTCCTAGAGGATAAGGTCCACCAAATTCACCTTCAAGGAGTCCTCTGTCATAGGTCGCTCCTGCTGAATCTTCTTTTTTAACTTTAAATTATCTTTATACAACTTTCTAGCTAATCTTTGATCACCTCTGATTATTCTGACATGTCCGCCTTCTAGGGGATACTTCATGGTTAGGTAAAAAGTGGATAACACAGCTTCTAGAGCATTTAACGTTAGCCTTCTGATGATGACTTTATAGGGTGATAATGTGTTCATTATCAAGTACCTTACTCTGATGTCGTTTGCATTGCTTCCACTTCCAAAGATGTTCATGATTGATAGATGACCCAGTACCAGAACTTGTTCCTCGGAGAAACCAACTAGGGTACCCTTGAAAGGTAATAATTCTGACATATAAATGTTCAGACCTTTGAAAGCATCCCAATATAATATGTCATCATCAACCTCTTGACACTCCAATCATGAATTTGTACCTTTACGAGCATCGAGTCATTCTCGTGCGTCAGTACCCCTTCTAAGTCTTACATCAAAAACCCAATCAAAATAAGTTTTCCTTCCTTCTCAGATAATGGGTTTTGTGACATGTGCATTACTTATCAGAAATATCTTTTCCCTACCGAGCTTGTTTCTCCTCCACCAACAAAACCTCTCGAGATGGTATTGAGCATGTGTCAAGCCATCTGAGTCTCACATACTTCCTCAATGTTATTTCCTTTTTGGTAGAAGTATTCTCTAGGTTTGGCTCACTCTTGGATGGGCTCTTCTTCCCTATTGATCATTTTGTCTCCCTCACGTATGATACTAGCTGACCTCTTTGGATTAGAGTCTCGATTTTTCTTTTTAAGTGATGACAATCCTCTATATGATGACCTCTCATGCGATGGTAGACACATCATGCTCTTTCATCCTTTCCTAGCACAACATTAACCTTCTTGGGGCGGTTAGGTTCGAGTATCAACTTGAGATGATACACTTCCCTTAAAATGTCCACATATTTCATATTGAGAGGGGTGAAATTCTTAGAGAAGTTACCATAGGGCCTATGGGAAGGTTTTTTGTTAACCTTTCCCTTAACTCGTGCTTGTGATGCTCTCTTCTGAGCCCAGATCTTTCATGTCTAGATTTTTTTTTCTTCTTCTTAGCATCCTAAGACCTTTTCTCCATCTTACTATCCTCCTCTTGACATGACATTCTGCTCAGCTCATGACTTCCTCCATTCTAGTGGTCGACTTCTATGCCAATGACACGTTGAAGTAGTCGGCCTTTAGGCCGTTTTAGAAATCTCCTATGAACATCTCCTAATTTGGGTGGAAAACTTTTATGGTTTCTTCATTGAATCACGCCATGTATTCTCGAAGGAACTCAGAGGGCCCTTGTCGGCACCTTTCTATGTTTGCTGGCATAGAAATGTTGTACCATCTTTTTAACTTGGAATTGGTAGTTGGTAACTGATAGTCTAGGCAGACTCATGTACCAACGTAATGTTACATTCTTGAATGTTCCCGCCATGAGTTTACATTTTAAAGAGTCAGAAGCCCCGACTATTGACATCTGACTGTTGATTGATATTATGTGTTCCTGAGGATCACTTTTTCCATCGAAGGATGGAAAATGTGGTGGTTTTAAATTTTATAGGACTTGATCACCCAAAATCATTTATGATAAATGTTGAGGATCAAAAAGTTCTTCCTTATCCTCCCCCTCCTTCATACTTTGTGATTGTTGTAATGTATGGACACTTTCTTGTAGAGACTCATTTTACTGGTGCAGGTTCTCCATAATTGCTAGGAGATGTGTCATATCTAGAGGATTTTGATCTTCATTTCTGCTAAAAGATGATCCATACATTGTGTTGTTGTGATAAAATGTATGGTTTTTGTGAAGCCTGGGAAAATGTTACTGAGGCCCTACGGTGGGCACCAAATGTTCTTGTTAAACACTATTGGATAAATCTCCCTAAAGCTAGCCAGGTGAGACCACAATCGTACTGTTTATTATGAGGTAATAGTTGTTGTCCCCTTCCTTGTTTGGGAAGTCTCCTACTCACTTCACCATCAATGACTCTTTTAAGGATGCCTCTTCATATCCCATGTTAAAGTCGGCCTTAGTAACGTCTGTTGTCCTCCATAACTATTAAGTAACGTTTCTTCCATCAATTTTCATAAATCTTATGCAATCATGAAGACGCTTCGTAACTGTTCTCTCTGATCATTCATGGTGCTCTCTAGTACCTTTCAAAAGATCAGATCGACTTATTCTTTTGTCATATATAGTTACCTTGAGACTGGATTCGACTTGCTATGATTTGATAATACTACTTTACCTTGACCAAGCCTCGACTTGCCTAGAATCATGTTATCCGACTTTCTCGCTCTTGTACTTGGCTTGCAAAAGCTCGACCCTAGGGAATTCCAAGATGTCCAGTTGTCATTTCACAATTGTCGTGATTTTCTTTTTCTTCTGATTTTTTAGTTTCCACGTTATGTCTTTGTGTTGTGATTGTTCTTTTATTTTCTCTTTGCTAGTTTTTCCCAACACATATACGCAAAAACCTTAAGATTTTGGATGGAGATGTGACTTTTTCCTCCCTTGTGGTCATATAACATTAGGCATTTGTTGGTGCTCACGCCTTCTCCGGACTCCTCCAAAAAGTGGTATCAAAACTGTAGTTCAGCTCGGTTGGGGAGCAGGAACTAGATCCTGTGTTAGGTTCTGTTATAGGAATGTGGTGGACTCACACTAGTGTAGAAGAATGGTTAACTCCCACTAAAAATGGGTGGAATATTAGATTTATTATATAGAGCGGACTCGTATATTAATGTCTTAAGATTTTAGATGGAGATGTGTCGTCTTCCTCTCTTGTGGTCATGAAATATTGGACACCCATTGTTGCTCTCGACTTTTTCAAACTCTCAAACATATACTAATAATTTTGTTCGTGATTTTATTTGAAATTTAGAAACTTCAATTACTATGCTTGTATAAAATGATAATGTTTTCTTTCAACTTAACCATAAATCTTGAATTGGAATTAAACTCTAAAAACGCAACACTGATAATTCTATTGAGAGAAAGATTTATTTTAGTCTTCTCCCATTTTGAAATATTAGTCTCTACAGAGAATACTAACTTATATTATTTAAAGTAATTAGGCATTGGAGTCTTTTTCTCTTCCCCATGATTTTATCTCTTAATATTTTAGTTTGTGATTTTCTTTGGTTTGACCTAGTCCCAAGTTTATATTCGCTTGTTATTTATTTGAATAATAACCTCTCATTTTAACAAATATAACAAAATTATCAAAAGTCTCTGTTACTTTTATCAAACAAACTTTATTAATTTTTTTAAAATAGTGTACACACTGATAATTAAATTGCACAGTTGAAAATAATCAATTTTACATTAAAAAGCGATGCATATACGATGCATATAGTTCGTTCGAATTATTTGCTTGGTGTTCTTCAATGCTCCTAAAAAGCCACTTACAAATTGATCAAAAAGATGATAACAATGAACACAATATAAACAGCATCAACTGGATTATACCAACTGCATATTTTGAGGAGTTGCCCTTATCTGCAAAAACCACAATTAATACCAAAAGCCATACATTTAATGTATCTAGGATAATACAACAAAGAGAAAGTCCACCATATGATAAATACCTGAAGAGGGAGAGGAAGCAGTGTTTTGTGCAAACGGAGGAGGAGCTGAGAATGATGGCACCGTTGATGGTGGCGGTGATGGCGATGGTGACGGTGAATCTGGTGTAGTAGTTTGGTAGAAGGGTGAATTGATTTCAAATCTCAAATTACAACTAGGTCTAACTATTCTAACACCTATCCTATTGTTACAACAATTTGGAACTTCTTTGATAGATTGAACCAAACAATCATCACACGATGTTTTCGACAAATCAGGTGTGCATTGAACAAGACCATATAATAATGTTTCATTATTATTCAGACCAAAGTTATCACTTCCAACAGCATATTTAAGGTCACTGTCCCCTGATGAAGCTATGTTTCTTAAACCATCCAACAAATTTTTGACCCTTTTATTAAACTCGTTTTCATTTGTTGCGTTTTTCAAATTCCATGCAAAATAAGCAGGTCCAGTTTTTTCGAGACCAAATATGGATCGGTCTGAATAACGCAACATGCACTTTTCATCCTCGTACCAACCAATTGCTTCTTTTTGGTTAGGACAAAGCTGTGTGAGATTGTTGGTTGAAGCTTTGAGGCAGTTAAGACACTCGGTTTGCTTAACATCGCCTCTGCAGAGACCAATAGCGTATACTTTGTTTGTGTTTTGGCCGTTTGAGAAATTGTAGAAACCGTAGTTGATTTGTGTGTTGGAAGTGAGAGTTGATAAAAGGGTTTTGAGGTTTGTGTGGTAGATGCTGTTGTCTGTGTAGTTACCTGTGTTGTTGAAATTACAGAAGTAGTGGAAGTTTTGTGCGTTGTTGTCGGCGTTGGCTAATTTGGATGATGAGAAAAAGATTGTTATGAGAAACAGAGAATAATGAAAGGAATTAATAGCCATATATGTTGGTTGTTGTTTGAGAAAAAAAATGTAACAGGGCAGGGATTGAAGTTTATGGTGTTTTAATGTTTTGTGTTTGGATATAAATTGTGAGCTTCTATATATATTGCGATGATGAAGTGATTGGTTGAATTTGAAGGGCTTGCAAAAGCTGGTCTTTAAAGGAGGTTGATCTTGTATAAAATATTTGTAATTGGTTCATTTCCTCTTACGCTCTGCTCTTAGTAATAGTTTATGAGTAAATATTATATATCAATTCAATTCAATATTTAACTTTTTTTAGACAGTGAAGATTGTTGCAACTAGATTAACTTTGATTATGAATAACTTTATTCTCTATATTAGAAAAGAAAAGGGTGACATTTGATGGATATAGTAGTTTGAATTTAGTCAAGAAGTTTAAGGACTGTTTTATTTTTAAAATTGACTTAAAAAGAAACTTATGATAAAGTTGGTTTGAGTTTTTTTATATTATATTATAGGAAAGTTTGGATATAATGCTACCCGGTGTGTTTGGATGGACGATTGTGTTCTTTGGTAACTTTATTGTCTTAGTTAAAAGTTTTTCTGCTCAAAAGATTAGTATGTAAGACGGGTTTCAAATGAGGGGATCGTTGTGATTGTTTCTTTCTTGTTTCTTCTTGTGGTCGAGAGTTATAGTAGTTTGTTTGGGCGAGTGTTGGAATTTGATATTTTTTTTAGTTTTAAGGAGGAGATCTTTGGTTTAGAGGTGTCTCATCTTTAATATAATGATCATACACTGATCTTGGGTGAGACTAAAATTGATAACCTTTTAGAGGTTTCAAGTTAACACTAGGTCCTTGGAACAATTTTGCAAAAAGAAGTCCCATTGGTATTAAGGTGGCCTCAACTTTATGATAATATTAGAAGGATTTTTGTATTGTAAGGAAGAGCATCCCCTTTTAAATGCATTGGACTTTTCTATTGGAGGCAACTACCATAAAAATTCTACTTAAAAGCCCTTGATAAGACTTATTTTTGGTTGGCGTTTTTATAGAGTAATGGGCATGTTATGCCTGGGAAGACATGTGGTCATTCTTAACTCAATCATAAACTCAATTCTAATTTTCTACATGTCTTACATGAAGTAGTCACTTAAGGTTTGAAAGAGATTAGTGTGCATCCAAATGAGTTTTTTTTTGGCGAAGAGTGTTAATGGTTCCTGCTCCATTCAAGAACCATAAATGGATGCAGTTGGAGAACTGATGATCTTAAACTATGTTGTTGATCTCTTTCACGATGACGTGGGGTGGACATGCATGGTTAGCCCAAGTCAGTTTAATATTCAAGAAGAGTATAGTGAAAAATAGAGATCAGAGAATGTACATTGCTCTTTACGTGTGAACTAATGTTTATACCTTGGATCAAGTGGAGTAGATTTGAGATAAACCGGACCTTGGTCATTTGGCCGGCCCAGAATAGTCTCCCTTAAGGATTTTTTGGGCACTGAAGGATCCGAGGAAAGCCTGAGGTGATGTTGGTTGATCTCTAGCATGTTGTCTGATGTGAAATATAACTGAAACACCTACAATTAATTAAAAAAGTAATGGGGGACAAGTACATTAAACTGTGCACATCATTGAAATGTTTCATAGCCTTCTTATGACATGTGTGGTGACGTGACTGGTTAAAGAATGACATGGTTTATAATGCACTCGAGCTTGTGTGTATCTACGAGGGAAATCTAGTAGTTGATCTTGTGACTCCTTTCTCAAGTTGGTTTGAATCCTTTAGTTGTTGTTGCTAATAAATAGGAGAAATTGAGTGTTTGGAAGTTATCGTAACCCTTGGCATTCAAACTACAATCACTTTCCCGAAAAAACGTCTTCATTTCCTCTTCCTTGAGAATATATTAGAAGTGATCTCCAATGCATTGCTTGAAGTCTTTGTCTTTCTTCCTCTTCTCCTGCTTCATCAATCTCACATAACCAGGTATCATCCTAAACTCAAGCTTTTATTCTGCATTTACTATTTTCTAGTCAAGATGAGTGATAGTACAATTGACCTAGTGAGTGCTTTTGAGAGCAAAACTTTGTTTGCCTCTATATTGGGGACATCCCCTGGACAACGAGAACGCTTACGAAAGGAAAGCGAAAGAATAAGATTTCATGCGAATGAATAAGATTTCACGCGTAAGGCAATGAAATGCCTTACGAAAGGTAAGGAGACAAGAAATGGACTTACAAAAGGTAAAAGAAGTGGTAATAACCATATCATGCAAAAGGTAGAGGAAAATTGTACGGGGTATTAGAACATCATTGACCTCACAGACACAACAGTGGAGATGACATTCTTTGGGCATGGCAACTATTTGATTCTTCGCCACACATTCATCAAGCATCCAAATTGATCGTAAATACCCAATACAAAGTTTTGTCGAGTGTAAAAGACAACGAGAACGCTTACGAAAGGAAAGCGAAAGAATAAGATTTCACGCGTAAGGCAATGAAATCCCTTACGAAAGGTAAGAAGACACGAAATAGACTTACAAAAGGTAAGGGAATGGGTAATAACTATAGCATGCAAAAGGCAGAGGACACTTGTACGGGGTATTAGAACATCATTGACCTCATAGGCACAATGGCGAAGATCGTACTATTTTATGTAAAAGCATAAAAGACTCCAAAACAAAAGGCTTGGAGAAAAATTCCTCCTACAAAAGGTAGAGAAGACCCAAAAACAAAAGGTTTAGAGACAAATTCCTCCTACAGAAGATAGAGAGAACCCCAGAACAAAAGGCTTATAGACAAATTCCTTCTACAAAAGGTAGAGAGGACCCTAAAACAAAAGGCTTGGAGAAATAACATAACTCCCTTGGGAGAAGACGATCGTACTATTTCCTGCAAAAGAAGAATGTACTCAAGAACAAAAGGTAAGGAGAATAATTCCTTCTACAAAAGGTAGAGAGGACTCTGGAACAAAAGGTTTGGAGATAAATTCCTTCTACAAAAGGTAGAGAGGACCCCAGAACAAAAGGTTTGGAGACAAATTCCTTCTACAAAAGATAAGCTGAGAAGAAATTGTTATCATCTCCCTCCTCTTGGTCGCAATCACCTGGACCCAGAAATCATACCCATTATTTGACGATTTTGACTCATAACGCGTATCTTGAAATTTATTGGAGGAAGGAACTTCTTCATTTGTCTCAATAGAAGCTCTTTTATAATACATCGAAGGAAAGATAAACTGTATCGAGGTCTATATTCCCCTCCCGTCTTAACCGAGGAGGAAATACAAGTCAACCGAAAAAGGCGAGAGCGTACTAAAAGCTTTATCCAGCTTCACTTAGGGACTGATAACAATGAGCCCAACGACAATGAAGTGAAGGCCTACTTGGATCTTAGAGATCGACTAGATGCAACGGAGTATGACTGAGTGGATTCGGAAATAATGGGTACTTCATCTGAATGAGTACAGGGGCGTAAGTAGAAGCTATCAGTGTCATGGTCAGAAATCCTCCGAAATGGTCGGTTCTTCTAATGGGCCCGGATAAAAAATATGTAGCCCTTTTGATGACTACACAATCCCTTACTATGAATGCCTCTTCATGAGGATAGGACTGCGGCTACCATTATCCATCTTCGAAGTGGCAATCCTAAAGTACTTAAAAGTTGATTCTTTCTAGCTTCATATAGGATCATGCGCATTCATGAGGGAATTCATGTTATGTGTCAAGCATAAATTTTGTAAACCTTCCCTTGGGGTATTCCTTGATCTATTCCACCTGAGGCGTACTTCTCAAGAAAACTTCCATGATCAGGGGCTCATTCTCTTCCATCTGGTAAATCCTTGGTTCGACAGCTTCACCCAGTATTGGGGTGATTTTCTAGAGCGCTTCTTGCTGGTAACTCCCCTTACGTTAGATGATCATCTCACTTGGTGCTACCTTCCTACCGAGTCTTTTAGCTTCTGTAAGAGTTCATTCTCAAAGTACCGGTCCAAACTTCACTTTAACCGGGGCGTCTATTTCAACTACACCAGGTTGGGTCTTCTTTCCTCTGATGACGCAGTGATGAAGGAAGATTTGCATTCTTGGTTTCAAGGGCTCAAATATGAGGAAGGTTTTGGCCCCGGTGAGGTTCCCCTACCAAGGTGAGGAAAAGGCATATTGAAACTTATGTTATTATGAGTGTCGTCGATCAAGGGGTGAAGGAAAAGATATTTGGTGAGGATGAATTCCTTGTATGTTTTGTTTACATGTATGATTGTATTTTAAAGATTGTCGCTACTCGAAAAAATCGTGCAACGACGGAGAGGCGAGAACGGAAAGACAGAAGAGTCACCATCGAACTTTATTTATCCCGTGAGGGGAAGGGAAAACATCGAGAAATTCCTAAGAAAGAAACGGATAAGATGGTCTCGTGACCAAAAAACGGGTTCGGAAGCCGGTTATGCGAAGGGAATGTATTAGCACCCCTTGCATCCATCGTACTCGACGGGAACCATTTATTTGCTTATGTGTGAAGATATCTGCTAAAGGTTATTGCTTATAAGAGTGTTCCAAGAGATAAAGAGAAGGGTTAGAAATAGGGAAAGGAGAGATAAAGGGGGAGAAGAGACTCTGTAGGACTTCGCGGTCCTAGGCCTACGTATTCTCAACAGATATGAGAAAGTCAGAGTCAACGTAGTTCGAGAAACTACGGATAGAAAGTTAGAAGTACACTCGGCGAGGATTGGGGCCCTCGTGCCTACATATCTTTACTTAAAAGAAGTAAAGAATCAGAGCAGTCGTAGTTCGGCCAACTATGGGTGAAAGGTGGAAAAGCGCGCTCGCCAAGACATCTCCGTCTTGTGCCTACGTATTCTCATCTGGTATAAGAAATCAGAGCAAACGTAGTTCGGGTTACAGTTAACCGATGTTTTTGTGGATGATGTTATCGTACGCATTCTAGAAGTTTAGGTATATTGATGCTCGCTCATTGGAGACTTAGGCGTTACTTGTTTGCGGTAGAACGGACATAACATATCCTTTTTGAAAA